CGAGGCAGTTTTTTAATAGAATCGAGTAACAGGTATATTTTAATTGTGTTATGTTTCGGAATTTAATTTCACATGTCTTTCAGTATATGAGGATTTGCCAACGGCAACTGTACCCTCTGTTTTGGACTGGACATTAATGAACGAATCTTTGCCGTACAGTTTTATGTTTCTGTTGGGTAAGTCCAGTCTTCTAACTTTGGTATAAAGGAATTTAGTAATGTATCTACAACTAAAATTAGATCTCCCTTAAATGTAATATATCGATTTAAGCTTAATTAAGCTGATAATGACCAAATTTAGTAGTGTTGGGACTGAAGAAGTGAAAGAAGAAAAGTGTATTTACCGATCTTGACTAATAAAGATAAGGAAATAACTTTCAGATATGGAAGAAGTAAAGTGGAGGAAATAAACTTTTAGCGGTGCTTTATTCTGAAGTTTTTAATAAAAATATCTGGCAAGGTTTTTTCGTTTTGTTATAAATTTCTAGAAAGTCATTTGATAAATTTTGTATTATTTGTAGTTCAATGGTTAGAGTAACCGCATCACGGGTATCTTGGATAGATGACTTTTTTTTATGGTTTCTAAAGTAAATGAACAATTTATACTCATTTTGATTTAGTAACGACAGTTGTCAATATATATATCGCCTTGTGCCTTGTGTGAGTTGCGAACAACTGCAACCATTTTTTTACAAATAATTATTACGATCTCATTTTTGAAGAGAAACATCACAACTTAAATAGAATTCACTTTCCGGCTATGAAGTTTTCTTTGACTACTTAGGCTTCTAACACCTCCCAAGCCGTGTAACACATTTCGATGCTCTTTCCATTACAACATAAGGGTATACCTTTTTCCTGAAACATGAATAACAATGTTTCGGCAAAAAGGATACCATTGAACTAGTTCTATTACACCGACTCCACACAATAGCCCATGATGGGCGGTCATGGGTCATCACCAATGTGTAGACGACATGACCGCCTATAATTGCCCATGATCGGCGACAATTGTACTTGATCGCAATTGTGTCGGTTTATGAAAAAAATCATCAAAGCAAGTTTGGCCATGTCATACGCGCGCCCACACAATCATATATCACTCTGCCCGTATTTGTTTAAGGTACGGTGTGGATGCGTCCTGTTTTGCCTATAATCGATGCTATCTGCATAAAATGTCGTACCCGCAAAAGAATTTTAATTAACCATTTATGTTTATAGAATCATAAAAAAAAGACGCTCCACGAGGACAATTTGGATTCTTATTTTCCTAATTTCCAGACGCACTATTAATAAATAAAACAACTTTAAAACTGTTTCATCGCGTTTGTATTAAGTTTTATTGACGTTTCGGATCTTTTACAGGTTCCGTGTTCATATAAGACTAAGGTGTTAATTGTCTTTTTAATTAAGAATGTTTTAATTATGAACCTTTAAAACAATACTATTGGACACGTCCACGATACAAAAAATATATATTTTAAGGCAAAGTTTACATTGATTAAATTAAATTATTTTAAAAATACATTTGACTTATTTATTTAGCCTGGCTACGATAATCTACTACCAGTTCCAAATTTGGTAGTCTTACCTGAGAACAACTGGCGAAACATACTCTGACAAGAAAAGTGAATCGCTCCCTTGATTTAATATTTACAAAATGAACTAACTGTATCTTTTGATTTTGCAATGACAAATGATTTTGACAACTGGATCCTAAGCCGGTGGTCATTAAAACTAAATAAAAACGCGATGAAACTGTTTTAAAGTTGTTTCATTTATTTATTTGGATTTTTGTTTCTACATCCATATAGTTCAGATGGCAATTAACAAATGTCGGATGACCGAACGTATGGATAGCACCGGAATGATGGTTACAATCATGATGGCACTCAATGACCGCCCATCATGGACGATAGTGTAGAGGGCATAATACAAATGTGACTTTGCTACAGGTGGTGGCTTTGCTCTATCAGAAGCTGCTAAGCCAGAATACACAGATCTAAATGGCAAAATAGGAGAAGTTCTGAAGCAATTAACAAGCTTACCGAACAGCGTCATACTTCTGTTGATCATAATGTTTACAATTTTTGTCACCAATTTCGCTTCGAACGTCGCTGTGTGCAACGTCATCACGCCGATCGTAATGCAGTTGGTTAGTTTTATGTTTAGAGCTATTATTAGCAGATGTTGTTTTATTTATAGAGTTCTGCTATGCGTGATTTTATAATGTCTGTTGTTCTATTTTGTAATTCTTAATGTAGTATAGAAAAAATGCTTGTTTCCTTCGATCAAAAATAGATCAAAGCTTGTTTTTTTTCTTTTTGTTTTCAATTCGAGATTTTGAGAATCTTTTAATGAAACGTGAGGTGATCGACGATCAATTCGACGACGAAAATTCGATTGTATTATATTTGTAAACTGAGTAATAAAAACCTATATTATATACGATATTATCATACAAAAATATTAATAGCTCTTGTATTATGTTAAAAGTATAGCGTAAAATATAAAGTTCAATCAACTTTTGAACCTCTATTGCTGCGACAGCGCTGTAACACTGTACGCTGTTTTTAACAGTCAAGTGAACTGTACTTGGCATTCGATTCGAAGATTTTTTCTTACTTTCAGTATGATATATAACATCACGTCTTTCCATACATTAAAATCATTGATTAAATTTTAAAAGGAATTGTTGCAGTTCGTTAAATTATTAATATTGAATCATAACAATTTCCTTTTAATGACATAAATGAATGAAATTTTTATGCACTTACAGCATTAGGTAATAATAATATATGAACACAATATAATCAGATATTATTACTACAATTCTATCGATATGGTGCAGTCATATTTCCTTTTGGAGTGTACATGTGAACAAGGCTTGTCATCAGATAGATTACCACTTATTAACTTGAGCTCTTTCACATATCGTAGTACTTTAAACCATTGTCCCCATCTGCATATTAAGTAACTAACTCCCACTAATCTGCACTGAGCCCAAACGGTAGGTGTACTCTTTAACCGGAATATTTATTCATGAAGGCCCTTCAGCGATGCAGACATTGATAGTCTGATGATAATGCCCGTTCTATATTAATCAGGCAAAAGAAATCGACCAAAACCCACTGTGGTACAACGTAGCATCCGGGCTCTCAGCTTCTTATGCTTATATGTTGCCGGTAGGGACACCCGGAAACCTTGTGGTACAGAGTGCTGCTAGTATCACGACAGGAAAAATGGTAAATATTATCTTACACTAGCTGTTTTTTCGTGACTTCGTCCGCGTAAATTATAACCTATGCCCTCGCGTATGATGTAACTTTCTGTAGATGAAAGATTTTTTAAAATTGATCAGTACATTTGAAGCCTATTCAATGCAAATAAATAATTTAATCTATCCTCTTTATAAATTAGATCAGCTAAAATATAGTCTCCCTGTTTAATCCCGATACGGCTTTAAAGCAAATTTCAAAATGACCGGTCATAGGGTGGATAACCAAAAATTTATTACAAGTCAGACATCTGAAAAATATAGAATGTTCATGTTTCGCTATAATATGTATGCAGTGTAGTAATATTATCTATTGTTTATTATTATTATTATATTAATGCATAAAAATATAATATCAGCATTATTATAAGCATTCAACTTTAATGAATTCATTCATGAGTTTTTCGCATCAATCAATTAGCATTTAATGATTTATGCAGAAGGCTCGTTTTGATATAACTAGATATAACGACTTCATTTTGTTTTCAGATTAAAGCAGGCTTTTGGCCTACAATATCGACCATATTTATCACTTGGATAGCTATTTGTTTTTGGGCACCAGTTATTTGGCCAGATTTACTTAACAAAGCTGAGTGACTTATGAAAGAATAAATGTAATGCTATGATATTTGCTCTACCCATTGTTTCTGCAAGGAGTGATGAAAATAAAGTAAGGTTATTTTATAAAGTTGTTTGTATTTATTGATCAAGGTAACATGTTAGAACATGATGAAGTCTGTAGAAAAACTAGGAGAGACTTCAAAAAAAGTCGAATTATTATTCGTTTTCTAGAAGAACTTGACGATTATTCTTTTAAGTGCTTAACTTTAAATTAAGTTTCATTCTTTTAATTGCTTAACTTTAAATTAAGTTTTATATTTTTTTTAAAGTGACTTTGTAGTTTTTAACAATTATTACTGTTTAGTTACTTTTTGTTAAAAAATAATAGATTTTTTATGACAACTACAAGGTCGAGATAATTAAGACGATGATGTTTTTTCAGTCAACAAATCTGATTTCGATATTTTCTTCACAAAAAAATGTTTTACTGCTCACGAAAATATTTTGGAACACACAAGAAAATACATTCAGGCTATTAGTTAAGCATCTTCTTTTTTTAAAGGTAAAAAAAATCTGTCTTGCCAGATGTTCAAGATGGAATTAAATTTTTTAAATTCTCGTTTTTATCATTTTGTAGCTTTTTTGACATAATTAAGCTAAAAGAAATTATTTTTTTAATTTATATATCAAAAAAGGCTGACTGTACCAAATATGCAATAACGAATACCCCTAGCTTATAATATTGAGCGAAATAGATTCTCTCAATATTCGTTTGAATTCTAAACTCATTTGAATATTGTACTGTCGTTTACTACAATCGTCGACTATATAACAAACTTTGTATGGGACTAAATTATTAGTTTGAAACTAATAATTAAGTTTTAAACTATCATAATCAAAACCAGTACAATCTAGACATAGAAGACATTACATCATTGATTTATATTCAGATATTTTTTACGATACGGCAAAACATTTATTACGAAGCTGAAAACTAACAAAACATGTTATAATTAATTATTTACGATGTTCAAAGGCCAAAACTAACATTTACCGAACACTGTTACACGAGATTCAGCGGTGTAAAGACAGTGAAAACTTAAAGTTCAATGAAATCATTGCTCTGAAATTGCGACAAAGCTCGCGCCATTTGTAGTCTGTAACAGGGCAACAGGCGGAGAACTCGCATTCTTGCCTCGTGCCCCTACCGCAGTGTGAGCTAGCGAGCGACGAGAAACGTGCGTCTTTTACGCTCGTGAATCGCGTAACTCCCGAGTCTCCTAACATAAAAACTCGAAAAAGGAACACTATGTTTAAGTGACAATAATGTATTCAGTGATATTACTGTTGACACGCTAGATTAATGGCACGTGAAAAAAATGTATGTCATTAAATATTCATGATAAGCTCGTTGGTTTCCGGAACTCACAGTTACTACTCAATCAACAGGTCAGTTTACATTCTGCAGCTCGTTTTTTTTTTTTTAGTTTAATTACTGATCTTTATAAAACACGTATTTTCATATTTACCACGAGAACTAGATAACATATCTGTAATCACGTCAAAAATCCATTAAACAAATGTTCTAATTTCAATCCCGTTTATAAAAAGAATAATCTCCTGAAGATTCACTGTGGAATTCGTTTTCAAAAGAACAGAATGATCACTTAAAAAACATGTTTTCGTGAAAATTCTGTATGAAATTTTAAATAGGAGGATGATCTGATTCCTGAAAATGTTGGTGAAAGTCATACGTTACATAAACAGCATCGTAATACCATTGAAATGTAATCGAATCGTAAATTGAGAGCAGCGAAAGTTTTGCATCGTCCAAGAATATCTATAGCGGCAGAGTATCGAGAATAAACAAAGCGAAATAGCTGGGCAATAATGAACCGTATCCCGCATGAGAAATAGTTTTGTATCAATTAAAATTTATTAAATATAAGCTTTTTAATTAGTATTTGATGACAATAGGTTCGAAAAATTTTAAAAATGAAATTAATATAAAAAAGTTTGTAACGACATTGAAGCAAATTCTCATTGACAAGTGTTATTATAATGTCCAAGAATATTTTGATGACAAATTGTAATATTTTATTGCCGTTGACATACCATGCTTTTCTTTCTTCCTTGACAATTTAATTTATTTCTTGACAATTTAACTTTTGTGACATAATTTATAATTTTTTATTCTAAGCATTTGACATTTATTGTACTTAATTGAAAATTACCTGACAATTAACATTAATTTTATATACCTATTTATGATTATTTTTAAAATGAAAATTAGGGACGAATGTGAATTTAAATGAAATTTTATGAATGTAAGATATTGAGGAAAGTTAAGATATTGAAGATTTTATTTAAAGCATTTACTATTGACAATGGAATTTTAATTTTAATTTTAATTTTCTACACCCTTACAGGGTGTCACATAAACTGTACCTAATAATAACACCTGTTTTACTATGTGACATGCAATAAATGAATTATTATTATTATTATTATAATTTGGAGGACCATATCCCCCGACTGAGGGTAAGCAACTGTTTATACTTAGGAATACTTTATTAAAGAATCTTTGCATAAAAAAAATATATTTCAAAAGTAGTAAATCACCTTCCATTCCTTACAGAAAGATCAGTCAAAAATTATCCTTATTGTGATAATACTACTAACAAAACCGCAAAACTTGCAACAATTATTAAATTCTTATTTCGTCTTCCATTCTACATAAAAGATTTTAATATTATCTGAACACTTTTTCGTATAAATATTTCACTAAATCGGTAATATGTAACATCAAAGAGCTTTGAAATGACCCTCATTAAGAAAAATGTCTACTTTTACATGAACAAAGAAACTGATAAGGAAGTCAGATGACAGGCGGGATAATTCATATTTCCTGGGCGCCTATTCTAAAACATTATCTAGACCATTCAAATTATTATTATTAGTTGTGTCACTGATAGAAAAGTAAAAATTCGAACAACTTATTACGCATTCCTTAGATGTTCTGTGAAATTTAAATCATGAATGTTACGAAGATACATATTATACACAGGTCTACCAACCGATTACTAAGAATCACTATCATCATTTTGAAATCGGAAGATGATAATTATATTCCAATTATTGTCATTAGATTTTTTAGTTTACTGTGTTACAGAATAGACCACCTGCCCTTCATCTCTCTTTTAAAAGCTTATTGTTTGTTTATTCGAATATTAATATACTCTTCTTTTTTAATCTTAATAGAGACTTGTTCCTTATACTTGTTTGATCAAACAACTCTCAATACAAGATATTTTGTTACTGTAATAGTTAAAAATAGACAAAGTTTTTGAGTGAAAACATCTTCCAAACAAAATAACATTGTTTGAAAACTTTGGAAGTTGCTATAGATCTCATATTTGCGTTTGTGGCTCAACTTCTAAAGAGTTTTAATAATCTTTGTTTATAGTTTCGTTTCAATATTCAATCATTTCACTTTTTTTTATTTTCATATATATAACTGAATAAAGTTTGCATTATACTTTTTACAACTTTTCATAAGGCTGTCAACCTTTTCAATATGAAATACCTTGATAATTCATAATTTCATTATTATTAGGGCTTTTCTTAGTATTTGGAGATTAATGGTAAGCTTTACATAGTAAATTTTGTCCCAAGTTTGTTTCGGTATTTTGTAAAAATACAGCGTTTGGTATTTTAAATAGAATCATTCTACTATTTATCATGTTCCTCAGCCGAGATTTCCTTCCACTGTAACACAAAATAGTTTGTAATATAAAAATGATCACTCTTATATATTATATGTATTAAAGTTAGTGATTTTAGAACATCAAAAAAGTAAGGCTATTCAACATTATTAAAATACCAAACATCCTTAATACATTTTACATCCCTTTTCTACCATTCCATACAATCGTTATAACCCAATTATTCATAAAAAGAACGCTTTGTGTCGCAATATGAATTAGGTCACGATCAAGATAATAGAAAATGTCGCGCTTAAACACCCATTGTCTATGTAAATAGCAATCATTATAGCCTCATTCGTAACTTAATTCAAAGCCAGGGTTTCTTTGACAGTGTATTTAGGCCTTAAAATGTTTGTACGATTTGTTTGCTCTTTAAGGCTTCGCTTAAGCTTCGTAGATGAATACGGTCGGTATTCATTCACGGAGTATTTACTCGCCGACTAAATCCGACCATTCAACTAGTTAAGCTCCAACCGAGTGGACGCCGACTCATATTAATTTTGCCTTAATCTCGAATATATTTATTTAAGGAAAATGACACTCAGTTATATGAAATTGATGACTCAATTATTTGACATTAATTCTTTAAAAAAATAGAGCCAACTTTATATTTATAAAATAAGAAGTAATTCGTATCTTAAAAGCGGCTTAATATTATTGAATAACCCATAGAATTATTGAATAACCCACAGAAAACTTCAGCCCAACTTAAATTATAGTTTTTTTACTCTTAATGAAGAATGTTTAAAAAATCTACTTTGTCTCTGGCACCCTGATATAGGACTCGAACTCATAACCTTTCCCAATTCTGGCGACTACAAAGTTTTTTGGGAAAAATATTGAGAATGCAAAATATAATTAGAATAAATTTTCGTCTTTATCGAAAGTTCAAATAATTTTAAAAATATTTCTTTTGGATGTTTGGGTGGATTGCCTGAAATTCACTTTGTAATAGCGTATTTTTATGTCATATCTATATAAAAAAATATGTAAACATAGTGAAGGTCTTAGGAAAGACAGAAAAGATTTTAAAAATTATTTCACCTACTGGAAGCTACATTATAAGCGAGTGACAAGGACTATAATTTACACGGGCAAAGCAGCAGGAAAACTGCCAGTTATAAAGTAATTTGAATACCAATACATAATCAAGCATTCAGCAATTTTGGTGCTTCAAAAGCTTTTCAACTAACTTAGATTAAACCGTAAGGGGTGATCAAATAACCATAACAAAGCATTAAAATGAAATCCATCACTAAATTAAGTATATTTGTGAGTCTATTGTTTTTGAACGAACTTCTTTGTAAATCATATGAATTTATATTTGAACTTTCTGAAAGATTATTCAAAACTAGCCATTTTCACATACTTTCGTATTGTCGTAACTTCTCGAAAGTGAAATAGTTTTCAAAATAGGTACAGCAGTATCGGAGTGTGTTTAATGCAAACAAACAATTAAAACTTAATTTACAATAGTATAGTATACATTATTTCAAAACTGATACATTTATCACGAAGAAAACTCTTGTAAATATCGAGATTTTTTAGAAATAATTTTGGAAATAACTAGAACTTACTTCCAGTAGCATTATGTCCAATCGTGCTTTATCTATGCAATCCGAAGTCGGGACATCGATAACGTTATGTAACCAATAGCACTTGTCGTATCAGCTGATTCTATCTATTGTTTTATCGGTGCCACTGTAATGCCGATACGCTTTCTGATATTGTAATGCCTAAATTGACTTTGACTTAATAAGTGAAGTATTGATACATTAACCATTACAATTCTCCATGACAATATTGTAAGATTTTGTAAAAAAATCATCAAATATACTCATCGATTGCAGGAAAACTTAAATTACTTATTTAATTCTTCAGTCCAACTCTCACTTTTAGCAACATTGTCGTGAGAACCAATAATTTTATCATTAGGTATCGTATTTCCCAAATAGAGTTATTTCATTAACTTTTTTGACAAATAAACCTATCCCAAAGAAGTAACTAAATATGTAGATTACAAAGTTACAGAAAGCTTAACTGTCCAACCATTTCCGTGACGTAAGCACTGTTAAAACGAATGTATATTCAAACCGTAATGGGGGACGGGCCGTCAAGTAATTGCCACTAAAATACGGCTCCGGTTTCATTGCCCGGAGTTCGGAAGTGAAAATATTTATTCTGTAAACATTAAATGATGAAATAGCTCCGGGTATTTGAAGTACCTTTGAGACACAAGTCAGTCTTGCGGCCTTGCGGCAAATATTTTGTTACCATGCGTAAATTTTACTTAACCAGCATTTTCTTTTTCTATACATAATATATAAAATATCAGACAAAAAGGAAAAAAATGTAAAATGTGCTTTAATAGATAGCTTTCCACATTTGCTTTGAACTAAGTAATAGTAGAGTGACATTTATAATTTTGTGTCCGATGTTTTAACCACAGCAAAAAAGTAACGTTGTCATTCAAGCCGACGTTACATGTTGAGTTATTCTTCATAACAGCAATGATATGCCCAGATGAAGACGCTTGTCTATTTAAGTGGAAGGACGACCTTTTAAAACTTTTTTAATTGTTAAGTATTCATATATTTATGGTTATTAAAAAAATTAAACATGTTAATACTTCAATTGGTTTAAAACTAAACTTAAATTAACTTTAGTAGAGAAATCGATTGA